TATGAATTTTAATCGGATTTCTACCATCTATAGGCACATTCTAAATAGTTATACCCCATAATTCGGTGCTATTGAACAATTCCGATTTTCACATACCATTAGGTAAGAGCTTCTCTCAAAGTTGATCTTTATATGTTATTCAGTGCCCTGACCACGACTATGGCAGTTACTTTCAGCTGTAGTGCCATTTATCGCCATTTTGGAGCCACTTCTTTCTCCCACTGTAGTCGCTATGTACAAGAATAAGTGTCAGAATCGTAATCAGGAATCATCGACCCCTATAGGCAAACTTTCGGCCTAAAAAATTTTTTTGACTTTCTTGAGTTGTGGTAGACCATTTGGTCGACAGTGATGACCGGAGTCTCACACCTTCGAAACTTCGATGACGATGACGTGGCGGGCCGCCGGGCAGCCGTATAGCGGCGGATTGGGTCCATTCATACTTGGTATGGGCATGGATGGCCGCAAAACAGGTGAAAAACCATCCTGGACATTTGTCGACTCCTAGCGAGTGCTCGCTCAAAAAAGATGTCGTCCCTTACCGACAAAAAAGACTAGTCCAAATTTCGCCCCTTTTTCAAATGCACCTGGAGAAATGATAACCTCCTTCTTCTTCTTTCTATGAAGTTTATCGTTTTCGTTAGTTTTATGTTTCTGTAACACTGAATGGAGGTATTGGTTTCGGGAGACAAGTTGTGATAGAGTTTCGCATCTTTTCTCTGCTTCTGAACTCGATCTTCGTAGCCCAAGAATCAATGGGCAAAGACTTAGTAAGTGAGATGTTCCTATTCCTCAGCCATGTAGTTGGAACGACCGCTAAACCCATGAGTTTTGACAAAAAGTAAAAGCTAAAGTGTTTTCCATTGAGGATTGACAAAAGCCACCAACAGACAGATATGTGAAAGCTGCTCAAGGGAATTAGTAGCATGTAAGGACACTTCACTATGATTTCGACATTGTTACCCCTTTTTCTACCGCTAAGTTGTCCGCCTAATAACGAACGGTGGGTGTTTTTAGAAATGTGATAAGAACCGGTCATTGAATAATGTTCATTAAAGAGGAGAAACGTAATGAAATAGACAGTCTTTCGAAACATGCGAATAATCAACATATTACATATCAGCACAGAAATCCTATCGGTGATCAGTAACATTTGTTCGTCCATGCGCGCAGTAGTGCGCGACAGCCAAACTGGTAACATAACACTACAATACTTCAACAACATAACTCACCTCGGGCCGACGCCTGCGCCGCTGTTGGATCGGGAGAGATTTAAATATACATCAGAAATAACAGTTCAGAGGGCCGAGATCCCACGTGTAGTATACGAAAGGTATCATGGGATAGAGGAGAAAGACACGATGTTTACGCAGTCGTCAATAATACTGAACTAAACCGGTAGGGCCGTGATGGTGTCATCGGTGTTCGTTGCCTCGCGATCACGGGTAGGTCGTAGTTGAGCATCGCGGCTTGAGCACCAGCCCACCCTGAGGGATTTCCTGGGAGCGATCCTTGCGATTCGCTACACTCCCGTCCCAAAAAACCTCTCACTGGGCATAAGCTTGAGCCTCCACTGCAGGCCGAGCGCATGGTAGCTATCCAAACCCATCTTGACCCCCAGAGGATTGAAAAAGAAACATTGGTCCTTCAGCTTGGGTCAGAGAGAGCTCGACACCTAGTGAAATAGCGCAACAACTATTAATACATGTGGCGCGTGATTGAACTAAGGGTACAAAGTCCTAGTTTGTAACGGAGCTGGAGAAGTGAGACGGTGAGGTAAAAACTACAACGGAAACGTAATTTAACGACACAACGTACGCTTTCGCAACCTTGGCATGTCCGGGGCTAAGAGCCCCCAGCAGTCAAGGCGCAGCGCTTCCCCCGTCCGAACATGCGCGGGGATCGAGATCCAACCGTGGGAAAGGCAAATTCCTCCATGCTCCGCCTAAAATGCACCTTGCGGCGCAGTCATGCTGAACGCCGCTGCAATATCCTGGTCCCATTTATACTGACCGCCGTTCGCGCGGCGCGTGTCGCGCGCAGCGCTCCTGGCACTTTGCCAAGTCTTGTAGATGCGCTTTTGAATACAATTAAAGCACGAGCTTTCGCCATCTTCATCATCTTCGATTCGGACTTTGCAGCATGAGCAACACCTCAAATGTTATCCGCATCAGGAGTTTGCGTTTAATTGTATTCAAAGCGCAATTACAAGACTTGGCAAAGTGCCAGCGCCGCGCGACACATGTCTGGCGGACGGCAGTCAGTATAAACTTAGCTGAGGTATTGAAGCGGCGTTCAGCATGTCTGCGCCGCAAGTTGCATTTTAGGCGGAGCATGGAGGATTAGCCTTTCCCACGGTCCTGGATCCCCATCCTGCGCATGTTCGGACGGGAAACCGCTACTTTTTGACTGCTGGGGGCTCGTTAGTCCCAGACATTCCAAGCGTACGTTGTGTATTCGAAGCATACGAAAGAACCAGTGATACCATGAACCAGCTTAATAGTGAGGTTAATGTCAGAGGTGAGAACGTGGCTATAGGAGTAGGTAGCAAAAGCTATACAACAGTAACTATTTAGTGACAACACAAATGTAAGTAAACTACGGTTATAAAGAAGCGTCGTAAAATCCCAACCGGTATGTCTGAGATTGTTGCAGACGTCGGATTCAGCACTAGATACACTCAAGAGACGAACAAAAATAAAAAGGAGTAAACTTAGGGATAGAGTTTCCAAAGTGAAGTATCTTCGTAGTTGAGTGCTGTAAGAGATCATCTTCAGCGTAAGGCTGCGAGGAATACATTGAAACCTGAACTGAGTAAGTTATCTAACAGAAATGAGTAGTTTGTAACAGATGAAAGTTAGCTTACAAGGGAAGGATACCAACTCGTCCTGGCCATTCAGAATGAGATGTATACTCCTAGAAGCATCTTTGGACGCTGATTTCAGATCTGACTTCCAAATCTGCTAAACGATTCTGGGAGAGAAGTTACGGACCTTTTTTCTACTGTGCTTAACCATTGCGGTGGGCCCCTGCCCATACTTTGCGCTTGTGAACCCCTCGTGACACAACCGCAGCCGTGGCTCGATGGCGCAGCAGGTAGGTGAGCGGGCTCGTAGTGGTGGGACAAAGGTTCGGATCCTTGATGCATTTCGTAGTTTTGCTTTTTCTTGAAACGTATGCTAAACACTTGGAAAGTAGTTTTACGTACCAGTTCGGACAGCAGGGCCCCGCTCTGCTCCTTATTGAGCCCTGTGAACGAAATTGGGGAGATATTTCATTACGACTTCAGAAGAATGCATTGAAATTGATAGAGCTGATATGGCTATCTTATTTGGGGCATATTGCTATAATTAGTGCGGTGCATTAAGCGAGCACGTGAGATATCCTAGTATAAATTTTGACATGTAGGAAGAACCTGTTAAAGCTCTAGAGGTGAATCGCTCTGCTCTCACTTCCTTTCTCTAGTTCTCTCTGCACTATTTACCCCAGTCATCCAGAATCTGGCCAGTTTTTGACCGATTTTTTTCTCGTGTGTAGGATTGGCTAAAAATTTATCGTTTGGGGCGGTTTAACCTCCGAAAGATGAATATCAATTCGCCCAGGTTTAAGCTCCCGAAGCTCATGTCACAGGCGCCGGCGCCAAAACACACCACATCACCGGCGCCTGTGGCGCGGGCGTCAGGAGGTTTCGGGCCAAACGAATGTTATATTTGTATTCAGGAGGTAAAATTACCACAGAATGCAACAACTGAGACAAGTCTGTCCAAGGAGAAAAAAGTCGGTCGAAAATAGGCACGATTTCGCATGATTGGGCAGTAAAGGGTAAAGAGTGCCGTTCTCTTGATTGCGCAAGTGGTATTCGGTAGCAATGAAGCGCAACCTGCTCTTCATGCACGAAAATGTGCGACTCTTCCTTGTACTTGATCGGTAGCACGCTATGGCTTCATTCACCTAAACCACACGCATATTATGCTCTAGAGTGAACCCCTTGAGCAGTGAGAACTTTTAAACCACCTCAGCGGGTCCTCCACACCTTCAAAGTGCAGCCTTCCTCTCTTTTCGTAATGGTTGGTCGCACAATACTGCAGTCTGTATTCTTTCACTAGATGTGATTGCAACAAAGTCGGGCAAAACATACCCCCAGTTATTAGACGTAGGATCCGAGAGCTGTTGGCCGATATTGTGAGTGTGGCGTGAAAGAGAACTACTACATATGGCGAAGTCCTGTGTTATGCAAACATCAAATGTTGTAATCAACAAAGAGGTCAAAACTTTCGGAGTGCTTGAAGCAGATATGAAGGTTTATTTAGCCCCGGCTTGAGCGAATAGGTGAGAGTGCAATCCTTCTCGAAAGTCATCCACAGGGCTCAATAAGGAGCAGAGCGGGGCCCCTGCTGTCCGAACTGGTACGTAAAACTACTTTCCAAGTGTTTAGCATACGTTTCAAGAAAAAGCAAAACTACGAAATGCATCAAGGATCCGAACCTTTGTCCCACCACTACGAGCCCGCTCACCTACCTGCTGCGCCATCGAGCCACGGCTGCGGTTGTGTCACGAGGGGTTCACAAGCGCAAAGTATGGGCAGGGGGCCCACCGCAATGGTTAAGCACAGTAGGAAAAAAGGTCCGTAACTTCTCTCCCAGAATCGTTTAGCAGATTTGGAAGTCAGATCTGAAATCAGCGTCCAAAGATGCTTCTAGGAGTATACATCCCATCCTGAATGGCCAGGACGAGTTGGTATCCTTCCCTTGTTAGGATTCGTGCCTTGAGATCGACTAGTGGCGAAAATCATCGCAGTAATAATCGTGACGGAGGATGGGCCGGTGCAATAGTCGACGGCTCTGAAAAACCGGTAGAGGAAAGCAAACTTCAGCAAACGAACAAATAACTTCAGCAAGCGGGTTGCATGGTAATTGAACAGGGAAGCGTTAATCGGTAGGCAGGCCTTTAATGATTGGACGACGTACCTTGATAATGGCGCCGGAGCGGACCTGATTTATTTGGATTTCGCGAAGGCGTTTGACAGAGTGTCTCACCATAAACTCATAACTAAACTCGAAATAGTTGGAGTTCATCCCAGAATTGTTAAGTGGATAGAATCTTTTCTTACTGATAGAGTTTATCTTGTGCGCGTTAATGCGGAGTTTTCCGAACCTAGGCCAGTGCTCAGTGGCGTGCCGCAAGGAGGCGTTTTGTCTCCTCTTCTTTTCAACATATTTACATTTGAATTACCTCGTCTTATAACTCTAGAGGAGTCAAGTGTGTTGCTTTCGCTGATGACCTCAAATATATCACCGATCTCATCT